TCTTTATCCATTGCTGAGCGGCATGCTGAGCGGCAGAGGGAGAGTACCTGTCTAAGACCCTCCCCGACGTTTTTTTCCAGTTTTTCATACATTAATCGTCTGGTTTTCATCTACAACTTCATTATTGGTGGTTTTTTCCCGCGAAACCGTTCCTGAACTGTTGCTTTAAAGCATGACCATTGCTTACGCCGGCGGCCCTGAAACCTGGCTTACGATTGGTCCTTACATTTTACACCGAACTCGAACATGTGTAAAACAAACACACTCGGTGGAATAAGCATTTGATGGCATAATGAAAAATACGCAAATAAAACCATAGATTCATATGACATCTTCTACGAAAGAACAACTTCGAATAAAATAATAACAACTGATGAGATAGTACACCTATAGACCCACGAACTCACGGGTCGAATCCATCGCTCAATTCCTTACGGGAGGCGACGTGGTAGTGATCCTGTAGTCTTCGGGCGTCATGCCCGTCCTTCTCTATTCTTCTATCTGCCCACGTGCAAACGAAAACGGGTCGTGCGAGGAACTGCAGAAATACAATGGAAAAGCGAACAGCGTAGCGGCTAGAGTCGGCGTGGTCGACGTGAAGACTGAACGGGCGGCGCGAGTGTGCGAGCTCTGCTTTTTCGTGTGATTCCAAATCTTCGACCGGACGAGCGCACCGGCACCCGCGCGCACTCTAATAGGCGCAACCATTCAAAAGTGCAGAAGTCACGTCACTTAGTTATCGTTGTGCCATTTGAGCGAAATTGATCCATAAATACTCAACAGTATCAGGTTTTCTATGGACCCTGCCACGAGAATTGTTTTGGTATAATAATCACGTAATTGATCCCAGGAGCTAACCCATAACTTTGGGATCATGATCTGCTTCCAATACAGCGCGAAACGTCGTCTAACCAATTGCTCTATATTCACCAGAAATCTTCGATATCAAGGGGGTCAAAAAAGCTTTCATAACGAAATAATCGCTTTTCGTAGGTATGTACGTCTATGTGATAAACTATGTCGGCTTCTACAAGATTGGATCTGGCCTTCAAGAGACGGTTTTAGGGCGACTGTATGCTTCGAACAGTTCTATTAAAGCGACGTGAGTTCACTTCTTCAACCTGCTTACCTTGAAGGTCAGAGTGTGATGTTGTGGTTACAGCTGGAGAAACGTGTTCTCTGGATTTCTTTTCGAAAGGGTAATGACTCGCAAGGGGGCGAGTAGGACAGTTTTTCAGTCTCGTAATGCGAGCTTTGTACCATCGTATTAACATTTGACCCAGCTACACGCCTATTTTTCTTAATTCGCTTATTTTTAGGAGAAATTGCTTATTAACGTTCTGTAATGGTTCTTTGTATCTACGACGGGGGCAGTCGTCATGTATTTCAGTGATCGACATTGATTCGTTAAGAGACATCGGAGAGGTAATTTCT